ATAGCAAATAGCAAAATTTTAATATAGTCAAATATGTATTTGTATAGCAGAGATAAAATTATTAAACTCAATAATTAGTTTGCATAGCAGAAACATATTTTTGAAAATATGTGTAATATCAAATATAATCCAAAAAAGATAATTATACCTCTTAAATTAAGACATAAATAAAATCAACACATAATTTTTAAATTAATTTAATATGATATGATGTAACAAAATTTTGTACTATTTTTATACATGATTATATAATAAAATCTAAGCTATTTTTATATGTGATAATGTAACAAGTTTATACATAATTACATAGTAAAATTAGATGTAACAACATAATAAAATTATGTAATGCAATTTTGACGTAACGAAGGTAAAATTTATTTATACGTTTATGTAATCTAAAAAATCTATAAGTAAAAAGTAAGATCAGTAGGTGGGAGGGAGAAAAAATAAGTTTTTTTGTTTTTTTTCAAATTTTTGTTTTTACAATATTCTCTATGAATCAATTATTAAAAGTTACATCATTTTTACTCAATAATATTTTATACAATTTTGATGTTTTTTTATAGTAAAATTTGACATTTTTTAACAGTTTTATACTTTCAAAATTTTGAATATTATATATTATATGTGATTTTATTTGCTCTACAACTTTATTTAATTACAAAAAGTAGTTTTTGAATACTGATTTTAAGTTTAATATAAAAAAACTGCTAAATAAAGTATGAAAGATTATCATAAGCCTTAACTATTTATTATATTATTTATTATATACTTTTGAAATTTGAATATTATATATAATTTTATTTACTCTACAATTTTACTTAATTATAAAAAGTAGTTTTTAAATATCGATTTTGAGTTTAATATAAAGAAACTATTAAATGAAATATAAAAATTTATTGTGAGCCTTAACTATTTATTATATACTTTTAAAATTTGAATATTATATGTAATTTTATTTATTTTACAACTTTACTTAATTATAAAAATAGTTTTTAAATACTAATTTTTGAGTTTAATATAAAGAAACTACAAATTTTATTTAATATATATAAGTCACAAAACAGTTTGCTTAGCAGAGTCAAATTTTCTTAAGTCATAATGAGAGTTACTTAATAGAGTTAAAAATAGTTTGCTTATTGATCATAGTAAATTTTGAAGTTTTCATCTGATCTATATATAGATTATTCAGAGTCCTGGATTCATTATATAAATGCTTTTTCTGATATTTAATTATTTTGACTACTAATTCATTCAAATACCAATTGGGTCTTTTAAGTAAAAGCCTATATAGCTTTTATATTAAAAAGAGTTTTAATACTTAATATTATAATTTAATATAATAATAATATAATAGATATTTATCATAATTTTCTCATTTCGCAACTTTGATTTTCTTTCTACTTTCTTCTTGTTAGGATTTTACAATACACTATATTTTTTATAATATTGCCTTACAGCTTTAACAGAAAATTTTGATATATGACATTCTTTAAAAATTTGTAAAATGCTTAGTCTACCTAGTAAAGACTTTTGAATTATTAATTTTTTTATGTCTTTATTTAAACAAGAATATCCCATTTTATTAAAATATCACTAAAAAGTAATATGAAAAGTAACATGAAAATTTGTTTATATAATTTATTTATAATTAAGATATCAACTCAAAATTAAAGTTTGTTATTTATGGTATAATTATTAGAGTACAAAAAATCAAAATTTCAAACTAAAAAATCACGAAATAGTCACACAATTTTACAATCAACTGTAATAAAATAAAATATATTATTACTAAATTTATTTTTTAAATTCTAATAAAAATAATGCTATAACTAGTTATAACTGATAATAAATAAGTATCACAAGGTTACAATTAGTTATGATATTGATAAAAATTGAGTTATAATTAGTTTCAATTTGTAATAAATAAGTATCACATAGTTGCAACTAATTGTAATACCATCTTTAATCCTAATAAATAAAATTAATTAATATAGTAAATAAATTAGATATAAAACTTAGATTATTTAATTAAAATTTAATAATAAAATTAAAAGCAAATTAATATAATAATTTATAATTAATTTTCAATAAAAATTATATTAAAAAATAATATATTTTATATTTTATAATTAATTTCTTTATTTAATACTTAAAATTTATTTAAAAGTAAAATTATAATTTAAGTAAAAAATATTTTATTTATATATAGGGTTGTTAAATTACTATATCTTATAAGATCTTGTATAATTTATTAAATTTAGTGTGTAACTTACCAGTAAGTTATGTATCTTAAAAAATAAAAATAAAAAATGTGTTTGGCGATTTTCTATTAAAAATTTTTTTACGAATATATAGTTTTCAATGTTGCAAACGTGATATTTTTCATATTTTTTTATTGTTTTTGATCACATTGTTACTTTATTATATACTATACCTCAATTAAAAGGTGATTTTTGGCAAGGATATGATATATAACTTAATTTCTCAAGGAAAGTAGCATTATAAATATAAAACATGTGGCAAACAGTAGGTAAAAAATGCATCACGGTTGCTAAGTCACTATAACAATTGTGCATTATGGGCTCTTTTAGCTAATATAACAGAAACACCTACTCCTTTACCTGAATAAACTTTTAAATGACAAGAAACAACAAGAAATAGTTTTATTACTAAAATGACAGCAGCTGATCAAAAGTAATTAGAAAGTTTATTTGCGCATGCAATTTATTTCACAGGTATTCCTTTTAACATTCTTGAAAACGAAGATATAAAAGCTTTTTTTGCAAAAGCTTATCCTTTATTCAAATTACCTATTTGCCAAAACCTTTCAACCACTCTTCTTGATCAAGAATGTAAGGATATCAGGACTGTTACAAATCATTTACTTGACGAAATACAATATTTTTGTCTCACAACTGATGGGTAGTTTAATATTAATAAAAATCCTATTATCAATTATATGATTACTACACTAAAACCTATTTTTTATAAGTCAATTCCTACTAAAGAAGAACGTCATTCTGCAGAAAATATTGCGCAGGGTATAAAACTTACAATAGAACAAGTAGGCGTTAATAAATTTGCAGCTGTCATTACTGACAATGCTCCTAATATGAAAGCTACATAGAGGATTCTTAAAACTGAATATCCTAATAAAGTTTTTTCATGGTTGTTGAGCATATGGTATTAATCTTTGGATAAAAGATATTTTAAAAATTGATTGGGCTAAATCAATTTTAGAAAAAGGAAAGAAAGTAATACAATATTTTCATAATCATCAAATTTCTTTAACAACACTTTATCAGCTTCAATTAGAAAAGTATGGGTGTATAATTGCTTTAGTATTAACTATTAATACACGATAGAGATCAGCTTTTTATTATATTAATTATATTCTTCAAACTAAAGCAGCTTTGCAATCTATTTTGGCTGAAGAAATAGAAATTAATGAAAATATTGTACTTAATCTTAGTAGCAAAAGTTTTTAGAAAGATTTAAAGGATTTACATAATCTATTAAAATCCTTTGTTATCTTTATTAATCAACTTGAAAGTGATGAACCATTTCTTTCATCAGTATTTGTTAAATTATGAGAATTGGAATCTGAAATTAAAAACAATGCAATTATTCTAAAACAAGTTCAAGATGATGTAATTAATTTTGGCAAAATACGTTGAAATAACTTTATATATAATCCTGCAATTATGGTTGCATATAAATTAGATCCACAATATAAAGGTAGAATGCTTGATGCACAACAATAAGATAATGTTATTGAAGAAGAAATTATTAGACTTGCGAGAGAAGAAAATGCTAGTCAAGTATTAAATAAATTAGCAGAATATATTAGCCAAACAGGTGGATTTGCAAAAAGACATTTGTGGGATAATATAAAAGAAAAGCCAATAAATTAATTAAAGACACAATATCTAATATTAAGTCAAGTAGCTCTTAAAATTCTTTTGATACCTGCAACCTCAGCTGCTAATGAGTGGAATTAGTCAGCTTTTAGTTTTATCCATACTAAATTACACAATCGATTACATAATAAAAGAGTAGAAAAAATTGTATTTATATATTGAAATCTTAAAATTTTGCGAAAATTGCAATGGCCATTGTCAGTTAAAGAATTTAAAAAAAAAAATGTTGAAATAGGAATCAATAATAATTCAAATGATACAATGTTAATAGATGATTTAGAAGAACATAATTGGGAGGATTCATTTTTATTTGATTATGAAGAATTAGATTTTGAATAGTATATTAATTGTATATCTTATATTTTATAATAAATAATATTCATTTTCGCATATTATCATATATAGTACTAATTTTAAATTTGAAAAATTTGACCAGATTTATCTAAATTTTGACCTGCATTATATATATAATAAATGCAACTTACCACAGTCATATGTAACTTACATTGTAACTTACTATTATAACGTAACTTACAACAATCCTAATCAGACCAAAACTGAACTGGTCGAATCGTTAACATCCCTAATCACCAGTAATAATGCTGATGTATTAAATAAGGAATAGAGTAATTAAAATTATTTTTATTTCACGGCAAAATCGTTGTCTTTTATTTGAGAACTATTTTAATCTTAATATGTGAAACTTACGTGTTTTCATTTTTATGATTTTGGGAATCATATTATCTGTTATTTTTTTTCCTATTTCCTTAATCCTTTTAGCGATTTTGACGATATGATGTATTTTTTGCTTGACATTTGTGATGCCTACAATTTTAATTGGCAGTACTTTATTTTTCTGAATATTTGTCGTACCTTCAATGTTAGTTGGAGGTACTTTAGTCACATTCTGGTTTATCTGGAATTTTATTCAAGAAAATTTATTTTCGCGAACTTTTAGAGGAAGTACAATATCAATGTTATTTTATATTCTATTTCCTAACGAATGATTTACATATTTTAAATTTCTATTATAGGAACTTGTGTAATAAAAATAAGTAAATATCACTATCGTCAATTATGTTTGATAATATGCATAATGAATTGGCAGAATCGGCAATATCTGGCCATTATCTAAGTGAGTACAACAATGGGTTAGTAATTTTTAAACCAAATTCAGTCTGGAGAGCGGTTAGGAATCGAGCCAATCGCAGATGATATTTGAGGGCTATGAGCGCAGGATTATGTGTAATCAGAAAAAGAGAAGGTTTTACAAACAATATACAAGTGATTCGACTTACAGGTTTGATTTATTTTTTTTCTTTATTTTGAATGTGAACATACAGTCATAATACATTATTTAACAACTGTTCTTCAAACAGAATGCTTTGATGAAGTACTACTACCTGAAAGGTTAGCATATTATAACTATTTAACGAGAGAGGGTAGAGGCGTAACTTCTATGACACAACAAATGGGCTATATACAGAGGGTGGTCAAAAGTTTCTGAACACCTTTATAAATGCGATTTAAAAAATTTTCATCATATAATTGTGATACCATACTGCGGTCATATAACCGTCAATT